TATGTATTTAGAGAGCTTCCGGTAATTAAAATGGCAAACAGGCCATTTTTTATTCATGTTCTATTCATTAAAAAAGAAAGAAAGAAAGAAAGAAAGAAAGAACCCATGAAGGGCCCAGACGAGCGTGTGATGGCATAAATCAACAAAACACACTGTTTCAGTACTCATTAAGACTCGCCGCGGTTTTTTTTTCCCCCCTGTAAGACGTGGCCAGACATATTTTATTTGGCGTATTCTCCGAAATCTTATGTCTCTTATCCCAGACCGCGTAGACTGCTCGGGGCTAGTCAGAGTAAGAGAAGACGCAGCCGGTTATTGTACGAAGGAAAAATGTCAAGAGAAAAAAGAAAATCCAATTTATGAATGAATGTCCCGCTCGTTTGGTGGTTAATGCTGCTGTTTGTTCGGTTGGACGTGAACAACTTTGCACATTATGTCTCCTGACTGATCTTTTTTCCATCCACTCGATCATTCCCTACGGCTCATTCAGTGAACGATTTCTCGCGGAACCCCACATGAGGAACTCGGCGTGAGGTTAAGATGAAGAACCCCTGATCTTCTCGAGCTGCTCAGAGACCCACAGGGGTCCGGTTTTGATTGTTTGTTGTGCATTAACAGCGCTAACATTTGTATGCCGATGACACGTTGGTCTCGTGTTTCATTCCTCGGAACTGGCTGTCACGCTTTTGGGAATGAATATAAATAAACCCTGATTGGATGTGGAGTTCAGCCTCCGTTTCACAACCACGGACCTGTTCGGTAAGGATTCATGAAGATGCTGTTCATGTTAGTCCTTACAGACATTTGGTTAATGCATGGTTTAAGTCTTTGGTTAATTTGGGTTATTATCGGAGAAATACATAGAGGTGCGTTATTTTTGTATAAGAGGAAGGCGCAGGAAGTAGTTCCTGTCTGTAACGTACAGTACATGTGTTCTTGTGTCTACAGTGACGGCGGATGCAACACATAACCTAAGACTATGCTGTTGTTAGAATCATTGACGTGGTGACGTTTGGTGGTTAGGAGTCGTTTATTTAACATTAAAGGAAGGAGTCTCGGTTGTAAACGCTTTGTAACAAAGTTTCCCAGCTCAGGAATGTCTTCAGGACAGAGGTGTTTTGAGAGAGAGAGAGAGAGAGAGAGAGAGAGACGGAGAGAGAGACAGTGAGAGAGATGGAGAGAGAGAGAAAGAGAGAGAGACAGACAGAGACAGTGAGAGAGACAGAGACAGTGAGAGAGAAGGAGAGAGAGACAGACAGAGACAGTGAGAGAGACAGAGACAGTGAGAGAGATGGAGAGAGACGGAGAGAGAGAGACAGAGAGACAGAGAGAGAGAGAGAGAGAGACAGAGACACACAGAGAAAGACAGAGACAGTGAGAGAGATGGGGAGAGAGAGACAGACAGACAGACAGATAGAGAGAGAGAGAGACATAGAGATAAGGCTACATTTAATTGAGTGAGTTATAATAAATAGTTAAAGAGAGAGAGAGAGAGAGAGAGAGAGAGAGTGAGAGACAGACAGACAGAGAGAGAGAGAGAGAGAGAGAGACAGAGACACAGAGAGAGAGAGAGAGATGGAGAGAGAGAGAGACAGACAGAGACAGATAGAGAGAGACACAGAAAGACAAAGAGAGAGACATAGAGATAAGGCTACATTTAATTGAATGAGTTATAATAAATAGTTAATAGAGAGAGAGAGAGAGAGAGAATGAGAGACAGACAGACAGAGATAGAGAGAGAGAGAGAGAGAGAGAGAGAGAGAGATAGATAGAGAGACAGACAGAGATAGAGACAGAGAAAGAGAAAGAGAGAGAAAGGGAGGGAGAGAGAGAGAGAGATAAAGGAGAGAGAGAGAGAGAGAGAGGGGAGGAGGGAGAGAGAGAGAGAGAGAGAGAGAGAGAGATGTGGAATCTAGATGTGGAATCTAGAAGTGGAAGAGGTCGATGTGGATTACTCCGATGAGTCACGTGTAGCTCATACTAACGCTGACTAATATTAGTTACTCATAATAATTCACCAAACAATAATGTCCATAAAAGAAATAAAACAATACCATCCTTAAATAAAACAATTTAGGCACTTCAGATATTAAGTCCCGCCCCCTTATTGTTTCACTCAACAGTGAGTAAGCTCTAGTAAAGTATAAAAAAGATAACGATAACAAAACTCCAAGTGTTAGCGCTAGTGTTTTAAGCTATTCGCCGTTATACTAAGTAGTAACCATGTCAAAGTCAAAACCACGTGCGTGTCCCGTACTGCGAGTCCCTCACGCCGTTCCGTCGTCGAACGTGGCCGAAAAACCTCCGATCGAAGCACCAAAACAGGCTTTCCGTTCAATTTCAGACGTCCGTCTCGATATATATATATATATATCTCTGAAGATCTTCCTCCCCTCATCTGCATGCGGATCGCACCGAGCCCGCTTGTGAACGATAGTCACGTCCGTTCGTCTTCGTGTGCACCAGCCGGAGATGCAGAAACCGAGAAAGACTCATTTTACAGACCGGCATAGAAACCGTTTCCGAGGAATCACACGCGCATTTCCTCGCAGTCATTTCATTTATTTATTTATTTATTTATTTTTTAGTTGTCCCCCCTAGAAAGACCGATTCCAATTAGTACGCAGGACGTCTCTCGACGGGGAATAATCGAATTTTACACAATCACAATCATATTCATCACTAACGACTCATCGGGTTTATGATTATTTTCCCATTTCGGCTTGATCGATGTCGACTTCCTGTTCAGCACGTGTGCGCGCGTGTGCACGTTTTTTTTTTTTTTTTTTTTTGCCAATTTCCAATGGTGACATGCGCGGCGTCATTATTCAGCCGTGTCATTTTGTCACTCTGCTGTATAAGATTTTCATCCGAGGACGAGAAAGCAGAGCCGGTACGCTCGTGGCCTTAGTTCCTTTATTAATGTATTATAATCCTCTCTTGACACTTGTTAAGACAGGCGATGTCAGGCTAATACCCAAGGCCATTTGTCTTCATTTCAAGGTGTTTCACTGCGCTTCGGCTGGAATTTTCCCGAGCAGTCCTGTCACCATCCAGCCTTACTGTAGCAGACCGCTCGAACCGTACGCCATTCATCATTAATACTGATCCCGATGAACATCCTCAGCTATCCGTAATGTATATCACTTATCATGTTTGAATATTATAGCACGTAGTGGAACGGCGAAAACGACAGCCGGTTATATTATATTATATACTATTCCGATCGCTGCTGTTTGTTTATTTATTTATTTATTTACGTTGAACCTGAGTCTAAGTGGTTGGTCTTTTTAAATGCCGTTGTTCGGTCGTTGTCAACCCGAGTGTGTGTCATATACCGGCGAATTCATATCATAGTAATAATACTAATAAAAAAAAAGAGCGAGAATGGTTTCGTTGGATAAATGCGAATATGCGAAGCGCCAAAAAAATACAAAAAAAGGGATTTAATCATTAACCTGTTGATGTTATAGATCACCATTCATAGACCATGTTCATTTTCCCACGATATAAACCTCAAATAGCTCCAATGAGTGTGTAATACACTTTTACAAAACTCACGGTGCGTTGTTACGGAAACGAGGAGACGACACGGAACGCCAGCAGTCTGGTTAATGTCGGCAGGCGAAGCGAAGCAGACTGCAAACCGTGTCCTTTGAAAATGTCACGAGGTACGATAGCATCTCCTTACAATGCTAGTGACCTGTTAAAACGTCTTAAACATGAAACATCAGCATGAGGACGAGACAACACTCTCGCAAGGGGTTGTGAAGTGAGAAACATTGTCTACAGACGGTGCTACAGTAAGTGAGTGAAGATGTTGGTCTTGACGGTCAGCCGTTCCCTGGTGATGGACGGCGAGGGATTGTGAAGACGCGAAGCGCTTTTCTGAAAAGTCAAAGCCAACCGACTGCAGCCCTAATCGATGAACGGTAACCAGTGTAGCCAGCTAATGCGCTTAGCTAATCAGCTAATGCGGATTTAAAATTCAGCTCGCTGAAGTTCTACAGAGCACGACTAGCGTTCAACAAGCGAATGAACACCCACGTGAGATTTTCATGCCTGCTATTTGGTTAAATGTTGAGTTAAACGAACTGCGACACCCGTGATATATTAGCTGCGGTCAGTGACGGTGAAGTTGCAATTGCATATGTAATTCCCTCCTACACCCGGTAAAAGCCACCAAAAACCATGGGATTATTTTCCGGATTATTTTCAAAGTTGATTGTATTCAAGTTCGCGTTTTGTTTTTCTATTTGTGGACGCAGGAATTGTGCTACCATTCTAACGCAAATCGTGTTTGTGTTTGCGTTGACATAAAGGTACAATGTCTGGCAAATTTCAAATGGATGTATTTCCCATGCCTCACGAGTTACGAGCCTGTCCTATCGGAATAGCAACAGGAATTAGCCCGTTTTGCTATTACGCTTCGTGTGAAAATTCAAATGAAATCACAATTCCCTTTGCATCCGCATTTCTGACCCCTTGTATAGAAAGTGGCTTAGTGGTTAGCACTTTCGCCTCACACCTCTAGGGTCGGGGGTTCGATTCCCGCCGGGTGCTGCGGGGGTTTCCTCCGGGTACTCCGGTTCCCTCCAGTCCAAAGTATGCTGATTGGCGTGTCCAAAAGTGTCCATAGTGTATGAATGAGTGTGTATGTGAGTGTGCCCTGCGATGGACTGGCACCCTGTCCAGGGTGTACCCTGCCTTGTGCCCGATGCTCCCTGGGATAGGCTCCAGGTTCCCCGTGACCCTGGTATAGAAGATGGATGGATTGTATAAAAACCTGGGGGTGGGAGAATACTATGGGAAGAAGTAGAAGAACAACGTATACATTACAGCATGTTAGGAAGTTGGGGTGAGAGTGCAGGGTCGATACAGCGCCCCCTGGAGTAGAGAGGGTTAAGGGCTTTGCTCAAGGGCCCAACAGTGGCAGCCTGGCAATCTTTCTGTCAGTAACTCTTATCAGAGTCTTAACTGTTAATCCACCATTGCCCTACTCTTTCTGCCCGGTTTCGAACCAGGGAGCTTTTGTGTGTGAGGCGAACACGATAACCCTTACACACTACGGTACAGAAATGTAACACTGACCATACTGATCACTGTTTTGATCACATACTGATCATCGACATTAGCGTCATCACTAATATTAACCCGTTAGCTTGTTGCTAAGTTACTTGCTGTTGTCTGCTGTTGTTGCTCTGCCACAATTTCAGTCTAAAATGTTGCTCGAATGTTTGAACTTCACCACAGTGGAACAGAACCAATAGCCTGTAAGTGCAAAAGTGCACTTAAAGAAGCTTTTTATAAGCTTTACGTGCTGTGAGGAAGCAAACATCGAACGTGCGAAGGTGGGAAATGACGTCGTTACTACTCGAGGTTTAAAACCAAATGTCTTAAAAGTTCTGAGAAGACTTTCCTCCTACACTCATTGCTTTTTTTCTCTCTCTTTCACTGCATCAGCATAATCAACCTTTCAACCTGACTTTGAACTTAATTGTCTAAAATCATTCCTTACAAGTTGTCTCATGTGATTTGCAACTGTGTGTGTGACTGTATTGTGATGCTTCGATCCCCGTAATGAGCTGCAGTTAACCCGTAGAGAGGTCCCGAGACATTTTAACCAAATGCAATTCTCTCATCTGTAAATAAGAGCATCCGACCGTTTATTTCAAATACGAGACATTAGACTAGACGACTGTCTATAACAGGTGCAGCTTTTATATTTCAGAATTTCATTTGGATTCATACAATATCACATCGAATGGAAGGCGGTAGTGCCAATATTTTGAACTGTACATGATGATAATGTAATGTGTGTTGAGTATTGCAATATATTGACTGTTGGAAAATGAAAAATTTGTACAATTCATATTGCCCTCCACATTAAGCCTTAACATTTTACAATATGAGGTTTTTTTTTTTTTTGAAATCATTTTGCACTGAATATGAATAAATTGATAGCTCTTCACCAATCACAGCTCTTCTGGTTCCTCTCTTCTGTATGGACTTATCAGGCAGTGAATGAGCAAAATATGTGCAGCCTAAATGTGCAGCCTAAATACTTTATATTGGGAGATGTTCTGGTTAAATATCAGACACAAGGCTGCCATTTTGTCTGGAAAATAAGGAAATAGGGCAGTATGTTTTATTATATTTTAATCCCAATCCCAATTGTTGGTCTCATTAATGTCGTAGACAATTTACTACATATATTGGTGAGCTTCGTTTGGTAAAATTCGGTAACTTTTATGAACTATGTAATGAATAAAACATCAAGTGCTATTTTTCAATAACAGTGTATCCCAAAGGGTTTTATTTTGTGTATCACAGTAATTTGACCATGATTGTATTTTTTTTATTAGGGGTGGGCGATATGACTATAACTAAAAAAATAAAGAAATCATATAATGATTATTCAAGGCATTTTTCCGATACCCGATATAGCGTATATATCGCGGTATATAGTACACACTAGGTTAACAAATTGACGACAATACAATCAATTATTTACTTAATTTCTGCAACAATACATTTTTTTTGTGTATATTTGCTTTTGGATTTGGGAAAGCACTGCTGCTCAGGCGAATGCGCTATGCAAAATATATTTTACGTTTGTTCCGGAAAAGCCCGAATAGTGCATAATGCAAAGAAGGTTGCTAGTTCATGGCGAAGAGGTGTGTTTTTTTGTGACCTGTGCTCTGCTCAAGAGTGGAACCATGTTTAATATTTAGAGGAAGTGGTTGGTCAGTGATAAAGACGTTGGACTTCTGATCGGAAGGCCATGCGTTTCAATCGCAGCACCAACTTGTGCAAATGAGATAATTGTAAGTCACTCTGGATAAGGGCGACTGCCAAAAATGCCGACAATTTAATCCTGGAGCACTGGAGGCAATAAATAAATAAATAAATAAATGAACGAACGAGCTGAAGCTTCCAGAGCACTTAGTTGAGACTGAATGTCCAGCCAGGTTGGAGGTACAGTACATCATGCCCGAATAGAGAGAGTCAGTTAGCAACAGACAGCCTTTACTCATGTCCCGAAGTTCCCTCTTGACATGGCAGGACACTGAGGTACTGGAGCCTGTTATCAAGATCTCCGCCCTCTGGGTTTACTGATGCACTTTACAGTGACATGTACTTTATGTTTTACAAAGTCAGTACACCCCCTGCTTTGGTTCTCCATGCTGAAAGTTTAGAAGGAGGATCATGGATTGCAAAGGGATTGTAGTATGGGGACGCAGAGACCCTTCTGGACATGGCTTCAAGTTGAGATACAATAGGTCAATAGGTAGATTTATACGAAGTCTGTAAGGTCTTAGGTGCAGCCGTAGTCCCAGTAGTCGGGAATTAGAGAAGACTTGAGCTTCATCCAGAGTTACTTTGTAATCAGAATGATTACTTCTAGCTACACGTGGTCCTAATAATATTATTTCTGTTTTTATCAGAATTAAGTAAAAGGAAGTTAGTTAACATCCAACGTCTAATGTCCTTTGCACAATCCTCGACTTTACTAAGCTTCTGTCTGTCCTCTGGCTTCGCTGACACATACAGCTGTGTATCATCAGCATAACAGTGGAAGCTAATTCCATGTTTACAAATAAGTTCTCCTAGGGGTAACATATATAAAGTAAAAAGCAGTGGGCCTAAAACAGAACCCTGTGGAACTCCAAAAGAAACCTCAATATGGAGAAATCACCATTGGTCAGATAAGACCTGAGCCAAGAGAGAACTGTTCTCTTAATGCCAACAACATTTTCTAATCTATCAAAGAGAATAGTGTGATCTATAGTATCAAAAGCTGCACTAAGGTCGAGTAACACACGCAGCGAGACACGACCCTGATCAGAGGTCAGTAGAAGGTCATTTGCTACTTTAACTAGTGCTGTCTCTGTGCTATGATGAGGTCTAAATCCTGAATGATACTTTTCATGAATGTTGTTCCTATCCAAGTACGAGCATAACTGCTTTGTTACAACCATTTTTCTAAAATCTTAGAGATGAAGGGGAGATTTGATATTGGTCTATAACTGGACAATTGGGACGGGTCAAGGTCAGGTTTTTTAATCAAGGGTTTAATAACTGCTAATTTAAATGATTTAGGTACATAGCCAGTGCTAAGGGAAGAATTGATTATATTTAAAAGTGGTTCAATTACTCCTGGACAAATCTGTTTAAACAAACATGTAGGTACGGGATCTAATATACAAGTTGATGAATTGGCTGAAGAGATTAATGTAGCTAGTTCAGTCTCTCTAAGCGGAGCAAAACACTCTAAACATTGATCTGATATTTCTACGTTGTCATGTAATGGGTTTGATGCAGTATTGTCCGGTTTGAATTTAATGGCCTGTATTTCACGTGTAATATTTTCAAACTTATCAATGAAAGATTTCATGAAATCTTCACTGCTATGTAATGTTTGAGTGTTTCTGTCTGTAGTGGTTTTCTTCCAAGTTAGTTTTGTTTCCGTGCTGAAAATGAATCTAGAATTGTTTTTGTTATCTCCTATTAAGGTGGAGAAATAGATTTTCCTAGCTTCACTAAGAGATTTCCTATATTTCAGTAGGCTCTCCTTCCATGCTGTTTGAGTTTGGTTTGACGCCATTTACGTTCTAATTGTCAAGATGTCTGTTAAGGTTCGCGTTTGATCGTTATACCAGGTTGCTAATTTTTTCTCTCTAATTATTTTTCTTTTGAGTGGAGCAGCTCTATCTAGCGTGTAGCGGAGTGTTAACTCCAAGCTTTCAGTCACCTGATCAAGTTCTATTGGATTTGACGGTGATCCCAATCTAATAGATGTTTCTGCGAGGTTATTTAAGAAGCTCGGCGCAGTAGCTGATGTGTAGGTACGTTAGGACTAGATGGTCATGTGGGAGCGATTATGGTTGGAGATCTCCAGGAACAGGGTTGGTGACAACAGTCGCTCCTCTCAATTGAATTGAGGTGGTCTGGGAACCTTGCAAGGATGCTGCAGCAATGGAGATGATTGCGATGCAGCACGTTGCTTGTTATTTTCTACGTAACTGTTGTTCATGCTGCTTTCAGGTCATCCTGCAACTCCTTTCGAGTGACTGCTGGCCTTCTTTATCATGCTTTATCATTTGTCTGAGAATGTGTTGTAAAATCTTGCGTGGTTCACCTGTTCAAGGAATTATTAGTTGTAATTCCATGCACTTTCCTCTTGCATTGTGTACTATCTGAAATTATAATCACCGTGTAGAAAATAATTTAAAAAAATTACTTCACATGGGAAAGGAAGTGAAATTAAACATTCAGGAAATACACTCTAACATCCAGGCAGTGTTATAAAAATACAGACATGGCCTGTTATTTTTCAGAAACGTGTACTGATTGTGTTAGTTCCCCATTTTGATTGAAAGCGTATATACGTGTGATAAATGTGGAGGTTTACTGATGATTCAAGACGATAAAGTGGAATACAATGACTTGATTCCTAAATAATTGTCATAAATACTCTTGATTTCACTATGAAGTAAAGGAATTGTTTTTAGCCATTAATGTGTGAAGTGGAAAAAAGTAAGCCATGCTTACTTTCAGTCCTTGGAGATGTGAGTGATGAATGGCCGTCTCGTTTCTGCATAACTCAATTATTATTCACTAACGGCGTCATCGCCTTTCGGCCGTCTGTCTACTAATGCCTTAAATTTTTTTTTTTTTCCAGTGCAACTTCCTGAAGATCTTTGATGATTGATGATTCTGGCTTTAATTAGTATAGCCTGTTTTAGTGATAACATCAATTCTTTACAGGCTATGCTAATCTATGCCAGAATCAGCAATGCATTTGGGCGTGGACTAACACTAACTCTCTAACTGTCTTCTTTCTTTCAAACAGGTCTTTTTACTGTTGCTTTTCAGCTTTGGGATGTCAGTGTGTTTATATGGTGGTGTTTGTAATTGTACTGATTTGATGATGATGATGATGATGATGATGATGATGATAATGAAGTAAGCAGCTGTTTCAATAAGGCACTCCAGGCCAAATATATATCATTTGCTTACAACTACATGAACACAAAATGGCTGCTGTGCGCTACTGTTTTCAGTCACTGTGTCTGT